CAACCACCTGCGGTGGCTGCAATGGTGTGTGGTGCAACGGTACCGTGAAGTCACTCTTGCAGACGAAAGTTCAGGCTGCCAATGAGACAGAGGCCACAAAGGAGGTCTATCCCTTGGAGAAGGACAATGAGACCGAAAAGACTTGGCCGATGACAGATTCAGCCAGTGGATATTGCGCGTACCCCAGTGAGCGCAGTGATCCTGAGCTTGGCTCTGAGAAGCTGGGTGCTGCCCCAACCAGCCCGGAAGAAATCTTGAAGGTCTGTCAGATGGCAGAGAAGTATCAAGGTCACAGGGCTGTCCCGGGCACAGAGTGTGCTACCCCAACCACCTGCGGTGGCTGCAATGGCGTGTGGTGCAATGGTACCGTGATGTCCTAAGCTTCAGAGGCTTGCATGCAAGTTTCACTCTTGACGAAGTGCTTTTGAGTAGCTGCGGCGATGACCGGCAGTATTATTGCATTAGTGGCAGATTTTGTTTTTCCACATTGACTCCCCGCGGAGCGATGTGCTGGTTTTGGTGGCATAAAAGTGTACAAATTTCATCTGCTTTGCCTGTGATCGTTGACACATTCGTAGTGCTATGGGCAACCCCGCCTCCTTGTGTCCTACTCGCAGGTTTCATGAGGCCGCATATGGCGCTCATGCTAGCAGCTCGCTTACGGATGCGCTCGCACGGGCCTCACAAATGCTCAAGCCATCCACAGAAGCTCAAACCAATAGCCAACATACTTCCATGCCTTCAGTGTGGTTGTGGTAGACAATTTTCAACAATTCAACGCCAAGTGGACCCACATCGCTGGATTTAGGAGAGAGAATGATTGTATCCCCAGGCTTTCATCTGCACTTCCTGGAGCTACAGTCTAAACTCCTTAAACGGGGTTATATAGGGGATTATCCGGGCAGTGTTATAGGGATTATTAAGGGGATACTAGGAGCTGTAACACAGACTTTCACGCATAGAATTTTTGCACCGCAATTCTCAAACTCCCAAGGGCCCATGATGGTTTAGGCTTACGAGTGGGGAAAATCCCCACATTAACTAGGCAGCAGTATAGTTTCTTCTATACCTACAAAAGCAGATAGCATGTTTTAGTGTTCGACTTATGCGCGGTTGTCAAAATTATGGTCCTTTTTGGGTACCCTAAATATTAGGTGCCGTATTACTATAGGGATCCAAAAAGGGACCATAATTTTGACAACCACCTTTATGCCTTCCTAGATTCCGAACGGAAATTTCCGGATGGGTAGCGCGGCGGCCTCCGCCTCCAAACGCCTCACGGGCAGTAGTGGCTCAGATGCAGATTTGCCTTGACTTGGGGAGTTCTCCAATGTGATGGTTTAGGGTTTAGGGTTAGGGGTTGCTGTTAAGAGCTTATATTAAGTTGCATTAACAAGGAAACCCTATTTTTCTATATACCCCTGATAAGGCAACTTAAGTTTTTTACGTTCCTTAACAGCAACCCAAGAGAAGGGTTGTAAGCTATACAGATGGGTGGTCCCTTTCAATGGGTTTCTGTTGTACCTTTGTGGGCTGTATCAAAACAAACAGGAGACAGATAAAGAGAGGACCTGGGGGATCATATTTTAGGACGGAATTTTGGGATTCTAGGCTTTAGGTGGGGTCATTCCCCCTTACAGTAACTGTTACCACAATGGGTTATAGGAGTTATAAGGGGGAATGACCCAAGCTTTAGGGATTAGGGTTTAGGGATTAGAGTTCAGGGATTGGAGTTTGGGGATCAGGGTTTAGGCGGCAGATGTCCCAGGTGCCCCCCCAAATGGCACAGATGGCGCAAAGGAGGGGGATGACTTGATTGGATCGCTACACCGGTTTATGGTTTCGGGCTTAGGGTTTAGAAATTTAGGCTGATGGGTCCATGAAGGCATACTTGGAGGTTTATGGGACTTAGTAACTATTTTTAACTGAGCATAGGACTCTGCCTATAAGCCCCTTGAACGGCCCTTATAGGCGTTGCTCTTGATTATGAGTAGGGGTATGTGCCCATTTATAAGTGGTTCCTGAGTACCATGAACCCCAAACGCCAGACCCTGAATATACATATAGCCCCCCTTAAGTAGATAGAATTTGGGCTAACTCGGGATCTTATGATAATATACCCAAAACCATATTCTATCTATATAAGGGGGGGATATACCTGTAAGTTCACTTGCAAGTAGTTCCTATGTCCCATGAACCTCACCTCAAGTCAGGCTTCATCTTCCATAGCCTCCCCAATGTTTGAAGATGCAAGCAATGCCATGGTTTAGGGTTCAGGGTTTAGGTTTATGAAGATGCAAGCAACTCATAATCCAACAGTTAGTAGCTCGACTGAAGCCCCTGCGTGGAACATGTTCATCATGGGACCCCATGGTCGTACAAAACGGTAGTCTTCAAATTAGTTTGAACCCTAAACCCTAAACTCCTTAGCCTTAAAGGGGATTATAGGGAGAGGATTCTTGGGATTAGTAGTCTCCAAACTTCACAACTTGGCCGTTGAGGTGTTGTCAAGGGCTCCAGAATATGCGATGATCTCGAGCTCCAGGACGGTTCAGGGTTTAGGGTTGGAGGCCCGCTTTGAAAGGAAGGTGGTGCTCACAGGCCCCTTTGGACACCCAGGAAATGGTCCCAGTTTGGGTACTGCCCCTTCCCAGTAACAGTCGATATTAGGGGTCCTATTAAGGGCTATATATAATCCTATTAGGAATCCAAATTGTTATCCAACTGTTAGTGAGGGGGGGCAGTACCCAAGTCCCAGTATTGTTTGTTTCAGTACATTGCGAAAATCTGTTATTGGCGTGGTGAAAGTTCATTTTGGGCGTGAAGGCTTAGGGAATTTCAGAGCACCGTTTGAGGCTTAGGTTGGGTCATTCCCGCTTGCAGTAACTGTCCTTAGAGGCGTCTTATGAAAGGGCGGTCAGAATTCCTTTTACACTGCGTCGCAGCTGTTACTGTAGGGGAGCCGAGGTTTAGGGTTTAGAGTCCTCCGTTGGCCCAGTGGGGGCAAGGGCAGCGCTGCTCTTTGACCCTAAACCTCAAAACCTAAAACCTACACCCTAAACCCTAAACTCTTGCTGTAGGCATCCTGCTGTTGATCCTAACTGAGGAATCCGATACAGGTTGGGCGGCCGAGCCCATGACTTCAAGACCTTGTAGGGTACCATACTGGAGCTTCTACCTTCTGGGTCCTCCTACGGGTTTGCGTAGTTTGCCCAAGAGCTAGCCAAAAAGAGTGAACACAGGCTTGAAGCCCCCGATTTGGCGTCAGTATAATCTTTTGATTGTCTTTACTATTATTGGCGAGGGTTTGAGTTTGCGCCAGCATGTTCTCAAACAACGCCGCGCAGATCCATTGCTATGGAGTCAGTGATGTCCGAGATTGAATCTTCTCAAGCCTAATGGGTCCAACGATACTGTACCAAAATGAAGGGACCCAAAAATAGACCCCAAAACACTATAGTTCTTCTTATACGGACCCCCAAAAAGGTACCCCTAATTTTGGGAAACCCCCGTTTGGGGCATGTTGAAGTTGGGGCAGGGGAAACAGGGTTTAGGGTTTAGGTGCGCGTCATGTGAGGGAAAAGTTTGCTGGATTTATCAACTTTACTTGCTTGATGTTAAGGAACCTTTTTTTGAAACTATCACAATAAGGAAACCCCGTATTCACTATACACCCATATTATTCTATAGCAACTTAAGCCCTTTATCCCCAGAATGTGGTAATCTAAATTAAATTCCTTAGCAGCAACCCAAGTTACGTTTTGACCCTTGGGTTTAGGGTGCCACATACCCGAATCAAGAGATGCACTCCATGGCGTTTAGGGTGATTTCTAGGTGTGCAGGGGCCTGTGCGCGAGGCTGCATGAAGGCCGCAGCGGCCAGAAAATGCAGATCTCAAAGCCCCCATTCCTAAACGAAGGACCAAAACTCATAAGCTCAAAACCACTGTTATCTCCATAAGCTGAAGGGTCATTACCCCAGCTAACCAGTCAGACCCCTGGTGCACAGCTTCAGCCAGAGGAGATCTTTCTGGGCTGGGAACGGATTGGACTCAGTCTGTCGGGAGTCATTCTGCAAGCAGAGCATAAGGAGACGGTGATTGGTCTGCAATTAACAAGGTTCAGGGTTAAGGGTTTAGGGTGGTTGGTCTGCAATAAATTCCGGAACTTGAGCTGAGTTACCCCACGGTTTATACTGAAAATCCTGTCAAAGCACCGTATGTTTTAGGAATTATGGGGCCTTGGCATACAAAGACCACGCAGGATGTGCGGCATTCAACGCAGTACGGATAAATCGCAGAGAATATGCTGATACTGTATGGTTTCCGGATTGGCATCTTAAGCCTTAGTTTGGATTCCTTGAATAGCCATGTAGAGTTTAGGGGTTTAGGCTTTAGGGTTTTGCGGTTCAGGGTTTAGGGTGCTCTACATAACCTCAGTCCCCATTTTCTCTTCCACTACTTCTCCATGTTAGTCCAATTATCGAAGCCCCTTCAGAACAATCCGCAGCCTTTCCCCATTCTTATCATAGTATCACCTAAGGGTTATTGAAATATCTTTGTCACAGGTTTAATTAGGGGGACTACAGAATACTACGCCCCCTAAATCTCAAACCCTAAACCCTACCAAAGGCTTGAAGCCGACAGTGGGTCAACAAGGGCGAGTTGAACAAACCCAAAACCCTAAAGAGTTCCCGACCAGCAACCCAGGTGAAGGAGTATGATGCCTGGCCAGCTTTGGATTCAGAGATTTTGAGAATGTGTGAAGAGTGTTTTGGTGTTAGGGTTTGGGATTCAGGGTTTATGGCTTGGGGTTTAAGATAAGGGTCTCCGGGAGCCTAAACCCTAAACCCTAAATCCTTATGCTTCGGACAGAAATCTGAAAAGGAACCTTGACTTCTGGGAACCACCCTATAGTGGGAGCCTTAAACACCCTTCAAGGTTCATCTATGGTTCCCTCAGGGCCCTACAGCCAATACCGTAAATAGTAGTTTCCATGTTCTTTTCCATCATCCCTATATTCTCCGTAGATTACCCCTATATGAGCCATAGTCTAAACTCCTAAAAGGGTCTACTCTATAGGGGACTACCATAGGGGTTCGTAAGGGGGATACTAGGAGTATAGACTATGGCTCATATATCCCTATCTAAGCCTAGGGAGGCTTTGTTGCCTGGAGCAGGGCCCGCATTCTCGTTGACCTTCTTCGGGGGATATCGACCCTGCCTTGCCATGGGTGCTGTGGGTCCTAGGGGTTATATAGGGGTGTGCAGGGATACTGGAAAAGAAAATGGAAACTACTATAGTATTTAGGGTTAAGGGTTTAGTGGTTAAAGAGGGTTGTATAAAAGAGAATTCTGTGCAGCATTTAGACGTTTAGACAA